AGGAGTGTAACACTGAAACCATGGAGTAAATGTGATCAGAAAGGGTATTAATACCGGGAAAATATAAGATTCTATTGTCCAGCTCTACAGTGAACATTTACGATTTTTTTGTGTGTGTGATTTTTCTTAAGCTTTTTATTTTATTTATTTTTGGCTGTGCTGGGTCTTCACTGCTGCACGCAGGCTTTTCTCCATTGTGGTGAATGGGGGCTACTCTCTAATCATGGTGTGCAGTCTTCTCATTTCGGAGCATAGTCTTCTCCTGTTGCGGAGCACAGGCTCCAAGGCACATGGACTCAGTATCTGTGGCTCATAGGCTGTTTCCCCTCTGCAGGTGGTATCTTCCTGGACCAGGGGTTGAACCTGTGTCCCCTGCAGATTGGCAGGCAGATTCTTAACCACTGGACCACCAGGCAAGTCCCTTAAAGTGAATTTCTTAATGGCTGCAAGTATTTCCTTGTAAAGAGGCACCAGGATCAAGTCATTCCCTTTTATTTGGTCCTTTAGGTTTGGTTTCTTGTTTGGGGCTATTTTAACAAGACTGCAATAAACACTTTGGTACAGAAATATTTATATCTCTCCAGTGAGAGGGTGGCTTGACAAGGAATGCAGGTCTGGACTAGATGCTGGATTCTACCCTAGAACCCCCAGAATGGACCCAACTTTGCCAACACCTTGATTTTAGTCTCACCAGACCTTTTTTGGACTTCTGACCTCCAGAACTGTAATAAATGTGTATTATTCTGTGCCACTAAGCTTGTGGTAATTTGTTAGAATAGCAATAGGAAACTAATACATTGCTTTAAAAAAAAACTAATATTTACTTTTGCCAGTAATTTAATATAGATTTGAGTGGTATAAAATCTGAAAGATAAATGATATGTTATAGAAATACCTGAATTTTCTAAATCTTTCCATCCATGACATTTGAAGAGATGATATACCTTTATTAATTCTAGGAAATAAAATTGAATAATTGAATGTGAGTAACTTAGACCTCAACAGTGTATATTTATTCACAGTGAATTCCCAAGACTCCATTGTCTATACTGTTTTAGATTTATAGTAATTTACTAAAGCAAGTCATTGGATAAATGCACTTTGACAAATTCTGATATTTGCATAATTAAACATGAAGTGAATAAATGGGGCATTTGTGTCTTACTTGTGTCAGATGATAAATAAGTTGTAATATTATTGGTACAGAAATCCATAATGTATAAGGGATAACCATTTTTGTCTGGCAATTAGGGATGATTTTGGAAAGGGAGTTCTAATGAGGGTTTTTTGTTTTTGTTTTTAATTAAAAGACAAGAGCAGTGAAGACAGCACACTGGAAGTCATAAGGATCTCTGCTTCCTTTTTTTATTTTGATATATGTCCCAGGGATTCTGTATAATTAATTGGAAGAAGTTTCTCCAAAATGCATTTTTCTAACACTTTCTGAAGCAGTGATATTTCAGATAAGGAAAATGAAAGTGAAAGTCGCTCAGTTGTGTTCGACTCTTTGCGATCCCATGGACTATACAGTCCATGGAATTCCCCAGGCCAGAATACTGGAGCGGGTAGCCTTTCCCTTCTCCAGGGGATCTTCCCAACCCAGGGATTGAACCCAGGTCTCCTATATTGCAGGTGGATTCTTTACCACTGAGCTATGAGGGCAACGCTTCCACCTAGATGGACAATGTTTGTAATTCCTTGTTTCTTGTTCCTTGGTGCCTAAGGAAGGTCAACTTTATTCGAGGATAACAGTGATAGTCTTTAATTATGTACATTGGCCTCTCAACAGATGGAGGTGAAGAATTATTTGATAGCTTTTATTTTTTACCTCCCCAAAACATGATATAATGTTCTATGTCAAAAATAATTAGGTTCTTTGGTTAGTTTCTTTTTTAAAAAAAACTTCTTATTTTGTCTTGGGGTATAGCCGATTAACGGTGTCGTGATAGTTGCCGGTGAACAGCGAAGGGCCTCAGCCATGCATTTACACATATCCATTCTCCCCTGGTTGGTTTCTTGCTCCATGTGAAGTAGGACAGGTATGTCAGTGATGGCAGAGATTAGACTTTGCAGCACCCCCCCAGATAGGTGCCCCCCATTCTTTTCTCTCTTCACTGGTCTATAGGGAACGCCAGGGTAAGGTCATGTATCCTTGTCTCCCCCAGGCCTCCCTTGATTCCCGCTAACTTTCGGCCCAGCGGCGGGTAGGCCAGGCCATGTTGTGAGGATGAAAGAGGAAAGCCTGGAGCAGCTCAGGGACACCTCGGCCACCCCACCCAGCGTCCCGGGGCAGCCAGTCCTATGTGATGGAGGCGGCCCATGTGCGGGGAAGAGACTCATGCCTCTCGAAACTTCTCTCAATTGCACAGCTAGAGTCTATTTTAAATAGACGGCTCCTCCCCTCTTCTGTTAAAATGCAGATATTCTGAGAAAAAAGTAGCATTTTAAGGTTTCAGGGACATTTATTTCATCATGTGGGTGAGCTACCAGATTCCTTCCTGAAAGTAGATTTTGATTCCTTTCCTGAGAGAGATTATGAAGACGTCTTATAAACTATATATGTGTGTTTGTGTGTATATATATATGTTACATATATAAAACATATATCTTACAAATTATATATAACATATGTGTGTATATATGTGTATACATATGTACACACATATGCTCACACACATATTTTTCAAATGTACACACACATTTTTTTTAACATGGTACAAGATTGATCCATGTCATTATAAGAATGAGCATGAACAACAAATATTTGTTGAGCACTTATTAAATGCCAGACATTGTGCTTGCAGCTGGGGACACAGACGCGAGAGAACAGGACACCAGGAGCACTTGTGGCAGTGAGTCAGCTCATGAACAACTAGCTTCCAGCAGTGAGGAGGCTCTCCCCCCGACAGTAAACCTAACACCACAGTCAGCCTCTGCTTTGGAAGAGACTCTCTCCCCCCGACAGTAAACCTAACACCACAGTCAGCCTCTGCTTTGGAACCCTGTAAAGAAAATGAACCCAGCTATGGAAGGCCAAGCTCCCATCTAACAGGAGAGGAAAAAGTCCCAGCGAGGGAAGGTGACTCACCCAAGGTCACCCAGGGTGACGCCACTGGGCCCTCAGTTCAGTTCAGTTCAGTCGCTCAATCGTGTCCGACTCTTTGTGACCCCATGGACCGCAGCACGCCAGGCCTCCCTGTCTATCACCAACTCCTGGAATTTACCCAAACTCATGTCCATCAAGTCAGTGATGCTGTCCAACCATCTCATCCTCTGTCGTCCCCTTCTCCTCCTGCCTTCAATCTTTCCCAGCATCAGGGTCTTTTCCAATGAGTCAGTTCTTCGCATCAGTTTGAATCCACTCTTGAATTCATGCACATGCACAGCTCCCTGACCCACAGAAGATGCTCAGAAAGCAGTCTGGGCTGCTGCCACTGGCTTTTCTTCCTCACTGATACCGCGAACAGCCTGAGCCCACCTCCAACCCAGCACAAGGACTTGCCGAAACCTTGCATGTCCCCGGCTCCCCCTCCCACCCTCTCCAGGCTTCACCTTCACAGCTAAGGCCCCGCACCCTGAAGTGTGGGTCTACCATTCCCTTGCTTTAAGAGAGAATTTGATCAGCTATAAAGGCACTCGGCTAACGTCATTTAGAAGCTTTGTAAAGGGAGGTATGTTAAAGAAGAGGAAATCGTCTTGTTTTATTTGTATGTATTTCCCAACAAGGTGCTTTCGCAGGATGGGATCCCAGCAGCCACATGGAAGGGACTTGGTCCAGCAGAAATGACCTGGGCTGTGAGAGCAGACAGCTGGCTTGAAATGGTGCCATGCCGTGCTGGGGAAGAGCTGCATCATTTGTCTGTTTCCTCACTCTATCACACCCATTTCCTAACTATAAAATGGGATTGCTCTGGTGGACATGGGGAGGGTTGGCAATGCTGTTTTGGGTGTTTAACACAGAGCAGATCAGCAGGGCTGGTCTCTTCCATCCTCTGGAGTTTTGTTTTTCACTTACATTTCTCCACCTCCGGGGAGAGCCTGCCTGGGTTTTTCTCCTTACACACCACAGTCTTCCAGTCAGCATGGCCAGCGGCATCCCTAAGACTCAGAAGATGACAGAGACAGATGAACGGCTAAACAAAATGTAATGTGTACACACAGTGGAATATTATTCAGCTTTTAAAAGGAAGGAAGTTCTGACCCATGCTCCAGCAAGGATGGACTTTGAAGACATTACAACAAATCTAAGAGGCAAGGACAAATTTTGAATGATTCCAGCTATATAAGGTATCTTGAAGACTCAAATTCACAGAGACAGAAAGTAGCATGGTGGGTGCTGGGGAGGTGAATCGGGAGTTAGTGTTTCATGGGTACAGTTTCAGTTTGTTTTTCAGTCGCTCAATCATGTCCGACTCTGCAACCCCACGGACTGCAGCACACCAGGCTTCCCTGTCCTTCACCGACTATCGGAGTTTGCTCAAACTTATGTCCGTTGAGTCAGGGATGCCATCCAACCATCTCATCCTCTGTCGCTCCCCCTTCTCCTCCTGCCTTCCATCTTTCCCAGCATCAGGGTCTTTTCCAATGAATTTCCATTTAGGAAGATGAAAAAGTTTTGGAGATGGATGATGGTGACGGTTGCACGACGGTGTGTGTGTACTTAATACCACTCAATGTACACTTAATAGGTAAGATGGTTAAGTTTTTTGTATATTTTACACGATTTTTTAAAAAAGACAATAGAAACTCGCCTTCCTTTTCCCTTTTAATGTTCCTTTCAGTGCTGGCAGAGTACAAAACCTCTCCTCAAGTCAGAGGAGCAAACAGAAAAAAAGATGTGGAAATCCTTGGTGTATTATTATTTTTGGTTTTGTTATTCTTAAAGGAAGGAAATGTAGTTTTCCAGAAATGCTTTCCACAGCTCACAGGCCAGGTAAAAGCCACACATCTGCAGCACTGCACACACATTGAACTGACCAACCTTCTGCCCATTTTTGCAGACGTGGTGCTTTCGCAGCGCAGTAGTGCTTTCCGAAGTGCGGTCCCCAGACCGTCAGCCTCACCTTTAGCATGTGTTAGAAATGCAGATTCTTGGGCTCCACCCCGATCTACTGAGTCAGCAAATCCAGGTGAGGCCGGGGACCCTGCATTTCATGAGCCCTCCCCCTTGGCTAAGATGCACGCTCAAGCCAGGGCATCCCAGCCCAGATTTCCCCTCTGTCGGCCCCCGGGGGCCGGGGCGGAGTCCAGGTGCAGGCCACCGACAGGTGTCCCCCCTCTGGGGCTCAAGGGGCGTCGACCTCTGCCCCGGCAGAGGGTGGAGCCCCGCCGCCCCGCCTGCACACCTCCAGCTGCACAGGTGCTGGGCAGGGCCTGGAAACCGAGTCACAGGAAGCAACACCTTAGCACGGATTCCTCCCACCTGGACTCCTCGCTCACCAGTCGCAGGGAGCCCTCGGAGCCGCCAGCATGGGTAGGCGCCCGGGGCGGGCCGGGGTCCCGGGGAGCGGAGGGCAGCCGGGCGCAGGCGGGGTGCTGCGGAGCGGTTCCCCACGGGCCGGGAAGGGGCCGGGCTGCCACGCGGTCCCCACCGGCGGCTCGGGGACCTGCGCGAGCGCGGAGCGGGGAAGGCCATGCGCGCGCTCAGCCGGGACGTCTCGGCGCGGCGGGAAGTAACCACAGAGGGTCCGCGGAGCCAGAGCCGGGGCTGGGGCGGGGATGGGGGGTGGGGGGGGCGGGCTGGGGCAGAGCGCAGAGGGAGCGGGCCGCAGACGCCAGTCGCTCGTCGGAAGAACTAACGCCATAACCTTGACCTGCCCACCTGTTGGGCATCCACGGCCTCTGTGTTCCCACCCTGTGGGCTGTGGGCTGCATGGGGTCGTGCTGGTGATGGGAGGGGTCCGCAGAACCTCAGTGGGGAGGTGGGCAGGCTCCCTTGGCATTTCCCTTGCCTCTGGCTGGCCAGGTGACTCCAGAGCTGCAGAGGGAACCCTGGTCCAGGAGGCGGTGGGGTTGGGCAAGTGGGTCACACCTGGGGTCCCCAGGGATGCTGGCCTTCTGCCTTCTCCCGCGTGCAGGCGGTCAGCCGGGGTGCCCATCAAAGCGCCACTTGGCAGGCGGACTGGTTTCTGAGCTGGTGCTCTGGGTCTCGCTGCAAAAACACCGTTCGCTTGTCACTCGGTGCAACTTTCCTGGGAGGTGCTCCGAAATATTTATTTTGGTTTTCCGATCCCCACATCTAAGTAGTTTCTGTGCCGAATGGGAATTTCCCAAACGTAGTTGCAGTCGTGGTAGCTGTCTGCCGCCTGATTACCAGTGAATGAACACTGTGTAGTCCCCAGGGAGCACACTTTCTAGTTTACAGATTGACCCTTAAGGGTTCACAGGTTCTTTTGTGTGTTTTGCAACTGAAATAGGCATAGCATGTGAGAAGCAACAAAAAATTTATGTTCGGACACCAGTTGCATGTTTGTTGTTCAGTGGCTCAGTTGCGTCTGACTCTTTGTGGCTCCATGGACTGCAGCATACCAGGCTTCCCTGTCCTTCACCATCTCCCCAAGTCTGCTCAAATTCATGTCCATGAAGTAGATGATGCCATGCAACCATCTCATCCTCGGTTGCCCCCTTCTCTTCTTGCCCTCAATCTTTCCCAGCATCAGGGTCTTTTCCACTGAGTCAGCTCTTCCCATCAGGTAGCCAGAGTTATGTGTTTACTCAGGTCCTAAGTTTTCAATATCTGGGTCTAGCTAATAAGTGAAACAAATAATTAGGAAATGTCCTTTAATTTAAAAAGCAGCAGTGACTTCCCATCTTAAGAGCAGATCTCGGTGACTGAGATGATGCCAGGATTGTTTCAGGTCTGCTTATAACTGCAGGGGGACACTTGGTGAATTCAGCAGGAGGGAAAGAAATGAGGAAAAGTTCTTAGGGAAACATTTTTCTTGAAAAGAGTCAGATGGGAGATATTTTTGGATAGGGAGGCCACACAGTGCCTGTGGCAACTATTCAACCCCACCCTTGGAATTTGAAATATGAAACAAATGGGCAAATCTGTGTTCCAGTAAAATGTTACTGATGGGCATAGAAATGTACGTTTTATATAGCTTGCAGGTGTCACGAAATAGCCTTTAAATGTGTTCTTCAATCCTTGTAAAATATAGACATCATTATTTGCTTGCAAGCCTTACAGAAAAGTGCAGAGGGCTGGATTTGGCACCAGGCCATAGCTCTTGCTGATCTTTGCTTCAATGAATGTGAGAGATTATCAGAGTCGAGGTGCAGAGGAGGCCAGGGCCGACCTGGCTTGACTGGGGAGCCCCCTCTGAGGCCTTTGGAGGGCTGGGGATGCCTTTGCTGAAAATCTCAAATATTCAGTGTTCCTCCTCATAACCCCACCCCACCCCCTGGCCAAGAGCTTAGCAAATATTTATGCTGAAGTTCTTCTCACAAATTCCTTCCCTTGCTCTGGTTCTAGAAAACCATAGATCCTGCTTCTGTCCTGTGCCCCACCTGGGACTCTGAAAATGTAGGTTGAGAGGGCTTCGGGTTCTAGGAAGCAAGTTCCCCTGACACCCAGGCCAGGGCCTCTGGGCCAACTTGAGTAGTTCATTCACTTTGTTATTGTGTCCCTGCCCCTAGCCCTCAGCTTCCTGCTGGCCTCATATGTCCTTCTGAAGAGTTTTTCATGCCAGTTTCCTGCCTGAGTAGAAAAGGAAGTCCCTCAACCCTGGGCATTTACAAGTCCTTCCACATTCTCTCATCTTTCTAGAAGCTCCTGGGTAGACCTGTGAACAGAGCCAAAAGGCCAGGGAGGCTGGCATTGCTGCTGTCAGCTGGAAGCCATGGGGCGGGGGTATCCCACACTCGGCCCCCACAGCCGGGGCCGAGGGCATCTGAACCTCAGGAGGACCTCTTCCTCCCCAGAGTAAGAAGAGAAAACTTCTAACATTGGGTCCTTTTAGGCTGACATAACGGCAACCCACTCCAGCCTTCTTGCCTGGAGAATCCCATGGACAGAGGAGCCTGGCGGGCTACAGTCCACTGGGTTGCAAAGAGACGGTCACGACTGAAATGACTTAGCACACATGCTCTAAGGCAGTGGCTTTTAGACTTCAGCCTGCATCATGATCACTTGAGCTAGGGCTTATCCTAACAGGTGGCCGGGCCCCCGCTCTACCATGTATGTATCAGTGGATCAGGGCAGGATTCAAGGATTTACAGGTTCCCAGATGCTGCTGCTCCCACCAATGCCCAGGACCACACTTTGAGAATCACCACCCTAAGTGACTCTAAACGACAACTCTCTTTTCTTGACCCTCGCCCACATCCACATGTTACTATTGTGCCCCCAGAACGAGATTGTGCAAGATCTAGTGCAGTCTGGGCCCTGGGTTGTCCTCAATGACCAAACTTGGGACACATTAGTAGCTAAAATTAGAAAATTAGCTCGTGAAGGGAGCCAGCTAAGGCTGGCACAGGTTGACCTGAATCACCTGTTTAGGCAGGTGTTTTGTTTTTGTACCTTTACTACATACTACATACTACATACTACATACATAGAGGTACAAAACTGTCCTGCCCTGAGGAAACTCATATCCTCAGGGGCAGAAGCACAAGCCCATAAACCACATTTTCCCACACCGAATTGCAGTTGAGGGGAATTAAGTATTATGAGACTAGTGAAAGCAGTCGCTTATGGTGTCTTGTCAAGGTTGGAGAATTTGCCATCTTCATGATAAATTTTTGCATAGCCCTTCACATCCTCACAAAATATCCTGAGTGGAATTATTCCAGTTTTGGTTTACTCAGATTTCTGATCAATAACTTTCCCACTGACCTTTGAGTTGCTGAAGGACAGAGACAGCTTGAGGGATTGTTCCAGGGGCTGGTTGAGCCACCAGGTGAGTTCCCAGGGAGCCGTCTGTTCCCTGGGGTCAAGCTGACGAATGGAACCACAGTGCAGGGCCTGCCAGCCAGCTCTGTTCCCACTTCTCTGGGCCGTGGCCGCTCTTAGACACAATTCTCCATATATCTCAGTTCCATCCCTGGCAGGAGAGAAAGTGGGTGGGCGTCCCAGGTGAGTCGAGAAGGAAATAAAAACAAGGGTGGACCCAGGACATTCCTCCTTCCTCCATGATGGTGGTGAAAGAAAGAGGCAGTATTATCAGAAGATGAATGTGAACTATTGACTCATAGCCCTGGGATTGCAACATCAAGAAGCAGGGAATCGCTGGTTTCGTAACTTTGTCCCCTGATTTCAGAGGTCAGAAACGTATCCCCGAGGAAACAGCGTGGTGGGGTCACCCCGTGGGGTCGATGTGAACAGGGCTGGCTGCCCAGACCCGGTCCAGGTGCAGCTCCTAGCAGCAGGCAGGATGGGGATACAGGACCGCCTCAGCAGGTGGAAGGTATTACAGCTAAGACAAGGGATGCGACTGTCCACAGACTCTCCTGAGGAAGAAGGAAGGTCTAGTCCTTCCATGATTGGAGACCAGCCTGGTCTGCTGTCAGTCTGCATTTCCAAGTCGCCTGCATTTCATGAGATGTGTGACCCTGAAGCTGTGCCCATCAGGAAAGTTTGGTTCAAGGACCAGATGTAAGACCAGAAAATTCCCAAACCATAAGAAGACCCATTAAAAGTGCTTGGACTCAGCATTTCAAACTCTCTGCAGGGTTTTCCTATAAGCTGTATTAGGACATGTCAGGAGGGACGACTGAGATGTTCTTAGAGGAACAAAGGTTTTTCTCACTTAGTCCAAACACGTTAAGTTCTGTGATGTACTCTTTCCCTTGTGGCTGCTGTAACAAAAGCATCACAAACCAGGTTGTTTAAAACGGCAGAAGTTTATTGTCTCGCATTTCTGGAGGCTGGGAGAAACCCAGGTGTCAGCAGGCCACGCTCTCTGAAGGCCGTAGGGGAGAATCTATTCTCTGCCTCTCCTCTTGGCTTCTGGTGCTGCCAGCCAGCCTGGCACACCTTGGCTGGTGGATACAGCTCTCCCATCTCTGCTTCTATCATCACGTGGCCATTGTCTTCCCTCTGTGTGCACGTGGCTGTCTTCTTATCAGGACACCAGTCGTATGGGATTCGGCACCCATCCTACTCCAGGATGACCTTGTCTCCACTCTT